GAGAGAGAGAGAGAGAGAGAGAGAGAAAGAACGTGTGTGTGTGTGTTAGAGAGACGAGAACATAGAGATACAGCGTGAAAATATTAGATGGAAATTCTGATGTGTTTGTTGAAAAGAGAAGAGCAATTGTCCCATAGATGAATAAATGAATGAGTGAATAAATGGATGGAATAAATACAGAATCTGCATCAGGCAGAAATCCTCACACACAGTCTTTGTCAGTTTCAGTTTTCAAGGGATAAGAAGATGTTCTCCCCAAACCACACAATGATGACAGAATTTATTCTCTTGGGACTCACAGATGACCCCATGCTAGAGAAGATTCTGTTTGGGGTGTTTCTCGTCATCTACCTAATCACGCTGTCAGGGAATCTTTGCATGATTGTGCTGATCCGGACCAATTCCCGCCTCCAAACTCCTATGTATTTCTTCCTTGGCCACCTATCCTTTGTAGACATTTGCTATTCCTCCAATATTACCCCAAATATGCTATACAATTTCCTCTCAGACCAGAAGACCGTCTCCTACGCTGGATGCTTCACACAGTGTCTTCTCTTCATTGCCCTAGGGATCACTGAGCTTTATATCCTTGCTGCAATGGCATTGGACCGCTACGTAGCCATTTGCAGTCCTCTACATTACAGTTCCAGGATGTCCAAGAATGTTTGTATCTGTCTGGTCACAGTCACTTATATGTGTGGCTTCCTTAATGGGCTCTCTCAGGCACTGCTGACATTTCATTTATCCTTCTGTGACTCCCTTGAAATCAATCATTTCTACTGTGCTGATCCTCCCCTCATAATGTTGGCCTGCTCTGACACCCATGTAAAAAAGATGGCAATGTTTGTTGTTGCTGGCTTTACTCTCTTAAGCTCTCTCTTCATCATTCTTCTGTCCTACCTTCTCATTTTTGCGGCTATCTTGAGGATGCATTCTGCTGAAGGCAGGCACAAAGCCTTTTCCACTTGTGGTTCCCACCTGACGGTAGTCACTCTATTTTATGGAACCCTCTTCTGCATGTACTTAAGGCCTACATCAGAGAAGTCTATAGAGGAGTCCAAAATAATTGCAATCTTTTATACTTTTTTGAGCCCAATGCTGAACCCATTGATCTACAGCCTAAGGAACAAAGATGTGATCCTTGCCATGCAACAAATGATTAGGGAAATTTTCTTTCATAAAATTGCAGTTTAGACATTATTTGTAATCACTATGTGCCTGGGATAACATGCGACTTTTTTCAGTGGACAAACCCACTATTCTATTGTCATGATTTGTTTAACATCATGGACTCTCAGTAACCACTTTAATTAGTTTCTTCTCAAAATTAACAACTTGAAGACAGATTGTTTTAATAAAAATCTTAATATTAAAATTAAAACTTTTTTATTTGGGACAGATTCTATGAAAATGAATTGGTCGGTATCAAATAATTGTTTATGACAATGTCTTTACTTATTTTGGGTAAACTATTAATATTTAACTAACTTTCTCTCACGGGAGCTTTGAAAATCCATTTCCTTTGAATATTATGGTCTACAGAGCCATAGTGACTAGTTTAACTTTTTTTTCGATGCAATCATTTCTACTCCAATGCGATGTCTTAAAACAATAGCTGACACTTTTGTACTTACTGGAATCACATTGCAAAAAATTTAAAGACATAGGTCACCTTTAGGTAAAACTTTCTGTAAGTTTACCCAAACCCACATGAAACATCTTTCAAAATGTTTTTGTCCATGTGATAATACCGGTTATTCTCCCTGGTTTTAAACTCAATTGTCAGGACCTTATGAGTTTTCAAGGGGATGGATCCAGTTCTATCATCAATGTACTATAATTGCATTCTAGGTATGTTTTCCAGTGTAGTACCTCTGACTTAGGACTAGGTTATTAGGAGTCAAAAGTGTCTTATTAATTGACTTCTGCATACCCATAAATGCACTGAAATGATATACAGTGAGTGGGGGTGTACATATCTTTCTGGAGAAAAGACTTAGCTTATTTTACTTCACAAAGCAGTCTGTGGATGATTATTTTTCACATAAGCCTGTTTCAGTAGTTCTGAAATAGTTCAGTAGTTCTGCTATAGAGAAAATTGATAGTAAAGAGTCTGTATAAAGAGACACGTAATTCATCCACATTAATCCATGCATTATTAGTTTACCAGATGGCTGTATATTGAAATATATATATATATATATATATATATCCCTTATTAAATTGCCTTAGATATTTGCTATTTTAATATTTTGCCCTCTGATTTTCAGCAACACCACTATAGAAAAGCTGGTATATGATATAAACTACTGTATTTACTGTAAAATGTTCAAATTAATTTCCAGACTATCACCTAGATGACTTGCAGTTTTTGTAAAATTGGGCTCTATTCTTAAGTCTCAGTTGATTGAATCAGTCTACTTCTATCAAAATCTTCTTTCAGAAAACAGCAGCTGAAAAAGAAAGAAAGCAATTTGAGGTGACGAGAATTTAATATTTAAATTTCAGCACTTTTTGTTTGTATATTTGTTTGGTTTTGTCTGTGGCAGTGGGACATCAGAAGAAGATGATCTATAGAGGCAATAATGAAGCAGAAGAGCTGGGAAGCGAGTGCCAGAAGGTGGTCATTGTCACAGAGTCCTGGGTTCCACTTCCTTTTTGAGGATGGGCATCATTTAATCTGTGGGATGTTCCTTTATATTATAACAAATGTTCCTTTTTGTTAAGCAAAGCATTGTGTTTCATTTCTAGAAACTAGAATAGTCTGATACCCATATTTATAACGTTATTTAAAAAATGTGTTTTTGAATTAGTGCAAAAATACCCTACAATTTGCCTAAATAATTGTATGTGTCCTTTTATTTTGTAGTCCTGAAAACTTGCTGTGGCTTGCAGCAACCAAACTTAAACTCAATCTTGACACCTTTTTAATCCAAGTGGTTGACTTGTTTGTAGTTTTTTTTTTTTTGTAATTTATTTATTTACTTATGTTTGTAATTTAATTTTTTCATCATGTAAATCTTTGGGTAAAAGCCCCCCCCCCCCGAGGAATTCTTTGGAGACAGGATAGAACATAAATCAGCATGTATAAAAATAATTATAAGTGACAAAATCATAGTGCAGTACTAGCTTTAGGATCATTATTTGTTTTAATATCCACAAATGAAGTAGTGAGTGAGATAATAATTATTATCTCATTTACAACATTTAGAGTGTTAGACACAGAGATTTAAGAACTCAACATACTGGAAATACTGAATGGAATTTTGGAGATTATGAAATGATGAAATTATTGCTGTAGATGAATCATGATGATTATATGACAATAATATGCCTTCCAGCAATAGCTAATGTGTATTTCCCTGGATGATTCAGGTTAATATAATAATCTGTGTACATTATAAGTAAAATTCTGTTAATGTTCATGTGAAGTTAGGCAATTTTGATATATGGTAGCAGGTAGGCAATTTTGATATAAGTGTAATAGGAGCAGTTTCACTTGGATTGTGTTGCTTCTTCCCCAGCTGGCACAGTGCCACACTGGAGGAGATTTCCTGGACCCATATTTTATTTTCTCTAGTGGAGGAAATAGAGTCCAAGGCAGATATCCAGTTTCCCCATGTTCCAGTGAATTTTCCAGGAAGCCCATTTCTCTCTAACTTTATGAGGAACAAAGGGGAAATTGGCATCGGCTCGCCCATGGTCATCTCATAACAAAGTGAGGGGGTGTGACTTATAGCAACCAGCACCGTATCTTGGTGGTGGTATCATGTCCTAGCTGGCAGCTTCATTGACCAGAGAGCCCAGCCAATGGCATTGCCCACCTGTGAAGTTAATCTGGCAGCACCATCTGCCCAGGGAGAATGTTCATCACATCTACCTGGCTTGAGTTACAATCAGTGGACCAGACAAGCTATGGTGCTCAACCTATAGTACCACCCAACCACAGAGCATGGCTTGTAGTCACACCCAGGCAGGGATCCAAGCCAGCACCCCTCCCACAATTTCAGGGCACAACCTGCAGTTCCATCTGCTAAGGAGTCTGGCCAATGATCTTGCCTGACTGCAGAGCACAGCCAGTAAATCTGACCAATTGTAGAATAGCCTGAAGCCCCACCTAACTGCATAGCATAGCCACTGGCCCTATCTAAATAGGGAGATTGGTCAGTGGACTCACCTAACTTTCACACAAAGCCAATGACCCCAGCCATCTGTGGGACACAGCCAGCAACCCCTCTTGAATACAGAGCCCAATGAGTGGTCTTGCCTGTTTAGAGGGCTCAGCCAGTGACCCTGAATCAACATGGAGCTGAGATAGCATCCCCACCCCACCCCAGTGGACAAACAGCAGCCCTATGTGACCCAAGACCCTGGCAGCAAGTCTGCCTTGCCCACAGATGTAATCACCTGGCTTGTCCATAACCACAGGCTGGGCTGAGTGGCATAGGTCTTTCCTACTAAAGTGAATCTGTAAAGAAGGAAAGAGAAACTGGGTCCTCAAAAGTACAGAGATATATGGAAGTATACAAGGATAACAAAGATTTTGGAAAATGTGGCAGCAAGAAGAGAAATAATAAAGCTCTAATAACTGACTGTAAAGAAATGAGATCTATGAATTGAATAAAAAAACCTAAAAATAATCCTCTTAAAGAAGTTGAGTGATCTACAAGAAATCACAGATAGATAGTGAGACTAAGTTAGAAAAGCAATGCATGTAAAAGACCACAAAAATAGAAATCATAGAGCTGGAGAATACAAAGACAAAAAATTCCTCAACATCAGACTTAATCAAGCAAAGGAAAGGGCAATTGAACTTTATAACTGATCACTTCAAATTATCCAGTCAGAGGAGTAAAAAGATAAAAGAATAAGAAAGTGGTGAGAAACCTGTGAGACTTATTGGGCACCGTCAGGTGAAACAATATATGCATTAGGAAAGTTAAGGAAGGAGAAGAGAATTAGAAAGGTGGCAGAAAGTGTAGTTAAAAAAATAATGGTTGAAAAATTTCCAAAATGAGAGAGAAATGGACATTCAGATTCACAAAGCCTAAGTATTTCCAAATAGATTGAACCTAAAGAAATCTATACTGAGATACATTGTAATTAAATTGTCAAAAGTCAACCAAAAAGAGAATTTCAAAAGCTTCACATACAAGGGAGTCATCATTAGACTATCAGTAAATTTCTCAACAGAATCCTCGCAGGCCAGTAGAATGTGAAAAAATATGTTCAAACACTAAATTAAAAAAAAAATTAATTAAAAAAACTATCAGGTAAAGCTGCCCTTTATAAATGAAGGAAAGATTAAAAAACAAACAAACAAACTCAGTTTATAACCAGCTACACCTTAGACCTACCTTACAAGAAATACAAGAGGGAAGTCAGCAACATAAAGTGAAGGATGCTAATTAACAATGTAAAAACATATAAATGTATAAAACTTACTACTAAAGATAAAGATACAGTAAAATTCAGAATTCTCTAATGTTATAATGTTGTTACATAAATCATTTTCAACTCTAGTATAAAGGTTAATAGATAAATGTATTAAAATTGCTATAACTACAATAAATTGTTAATAGACATACATTATTACAAATAAGTAAATTATTTAATAATTAATCATGTAAATTATTAAATTTACATCATTTAGATTATTGATTAGTAAATCAATAATCTAAAATGTAATCATGGGAGAAGTAAACACTTAAAGTTTATGTATGTGATCCAAGTTAGCTATCAACTTAAAAACATGGTGTTGTAAGTATGAGATGTTTTATGAAAGCACCATGGCAGCACAAAGGAAAAACACAGCATATAGTCATGAGACTGTCTAAAGTCAACATGAGGGAAAAAATCCTAAAACAACCAAGAGGAAAGCATCTATTAGGTCATTAAATATAAAATGTTCAATTTTGAATCAAAAGTTTAGCTTATTATATCTCAAGAAGCAGTACAATTAATCAAAGTCTGTGTCTAAACTATTGAATCGAATATGTTTTCTTGTAAGAAGTGGTCCAAAGTCTGCAAAAAGTGGTAGTCAGTGGGTGTAAGGTCTGGGCCCGGGGCATTTCTCCACTTCTTTTTGGAGTTTTATTGTATTCAAGGTGGTGTTCTTGTCTTTGAATTGTTACTAGTATACTAGTTGAATTTTTACATGGAAAAATGCTGGGAGATTTTCCACTCCATCGTCTTGCTGTTGTCACTCTCCAAAAGTTCCATTATAAAAATTTCAAGATGGAAAATTTTTTGTGCCTTCCACAGATATCATACAACAAACACTGAGCAATTTAAAATTATAGGCAATATGGCTGAGGCATAATTGCCTTCCTGATTCCACAGTGTTTCAGTAAACCCAAGAGAGGTGATCCTGATGTAACACCCCTCAGTCCTCCTGAGATTTTCTTTAAGAGCAGGTCCTCGCCTCCCACATGAGTACACTTTATAGCTTAGAGAGGCTTCCAAGAAACTTCATGAATCAAAGATAGAGAAAATAGGTGTATATCAGAACCCGAAGTAAGTTCTTGTGCTTTTACCTTCTTTATTTTTAGTTAAGAGAAAATCATATTAAAAGTCTCAACAGAAGCTCATAAATTATTTGCATTTTTTGTTATTAAAAGCTATTTTTTCTGACTTTACGTATAGTGGGGCTCACGAATTTTGAATTTTTCCCCTGGGAAAAAAGACATACTTTCTCTCAGTGGCTGCAGGCAAAGAAGTAGGAGAGAAGGTCAGCAATGAAAAGTGTTAACTCTGTTTCTAACAACACTTCTTACGTGCTTACTTTATGAAAATCATTTTTCTAAGCACTTTAAATGAATTAACTATCTCATTCCTCATGAAAACTCCATTTCCTATTTTAAAGCTGGGAACACTAAGGTAAGACAGTTTAGATAATTTGCTACCTTCATGCAATTTGTAGCTGGTGAAGCCAGAAACATAATCAGTAATTAGAATTAGGCACACAATTCTTAATTTTTGAATAGTAAATTATTGACTCCTTATACATTCAGCAGTTTAGGGCAGGTCCAACATCATCTAATCTAATTTATTTATTTTAAAAAGGTTGCGACTAAGCAAAATGTTAATAAAATTAACTCCAGAGTTACTTAGTGGCAGAGCTAGATATAGGTTCCAAACTCACCCTGAACATTTTTATACTTGAGCAAATTTCTGAGCACACCTCGAAAATTCAGTGAGTTGTCACTTTAGTGTCATTTGCATCTGATGTAAATACTTGCTTGCTAACAAGTTGGCCATTAAGTGTACTGGTATACACGTAGACTGAGAGTTGATCTCAGTGCTGTATTTGTCAAGGTTAATATAAGATATATTGTTGGTCCTAAGCCTTACCCCTCAATCTGGAATCCCATCTGCGTACTTTTCTTTCATATGTAGCTCTAAGTACTTTGTCACTTGCATTCCAATCATTTATTTTCCTTCATCACCTATTAGAATTTTTCTCAATACCATTGGTGGGAGAAGAGGGAAGGACAATGAAAAGGAAATAGAGATAGCCCCATGCATTCTTCTTCCCCTAAAAAGAATATCATTTTGAAAACAGACTAGGAGTCAGCTCTTCTTTATCTGTAGTTGCCAACAGCACAAAGCTCTATATGTCCCTTAGGACAAAATAGATATATACTTCAGTCAATGTTTTCCCCTTCATTGTGCTATTTCCAGTAAATGAGGGAGTTATATTTACAAAGATGTTAAGTCATCTTGAAAGTTGCTTCTTAAAAATGACTAGTTATCAGATTTCTACTTTTCATCTCAAACATATTGCAATCATATTTTCTCTTGCAGACCTCTAGGACAAATTTAACTTTGGAGTACCCTGTTTCCTACATATACATATACATGCAGTATTCTCTGTATTGATAGCAGAATTTGAACCTTAATCAATTTTCCTGACAGCAGACCTATTGAAATTTTCCCCTCATATGCTTGGACAGTATTTTGCAGAACTGTCACTGATGCCAAAAACCAAAAACAAAACAAAACAAAAAATACAAGAAAGACAAACATTCTGCTTACTTCTCACAAATGTAAGACCCCTTTCATAGGCTGAACAAGTCTAGAAGTCTAACATAAAACATGAAGACTATAGATAATAAAATTGTACTGTATTTAGGATTTATTCTATATGGGTACATTTTAGCTGCTCTTATCACAAAAGCAAAACAAATGGGTAACTATATGAGTTAATATTACTTTTCTTCACTAGGGTAACATTATATTGTCTTTATGTATTTCATAATATGAACATCACATTGTTTACCTTAAAATAAACACATTAAAATTTATTTTCAAAAAAGAGTCTATATATGTAGGTCTAGGTAATCTGTGATCCCCTTGCATTTGGAGGGTAAGATTTTTAGTATGTGCATTTATCTAGGCTGAGGATGCATAGTTTCCTTGTATATTTTAAGGAGTTTATGTAAATAAAAAATTAAGCAAATGTAGGAAAAAACAAACCGAGAAGCTTAAGAACTACTCTTACAATGAATTCTTGCTGTTTTCCTTACTCTGTATCTTTTTTTTTCCTGAAACAAAGTATTTTCTCATTCACTCGTAATTGAATAGTCTAAAAAATTTACCTAGACAGCTAATCCCTTGAGATCAATTACTGTCTAGTGCATCCTCATTTGGGATAAAACCATTCATTTAGGGCATCTTTCTCCCATCTTTCACTTGACGGAAGGTGGGGTTCTCCTTCCCCTTTATATCTCCACTGATAGTGCTGCTAGTCTGTGTGTTCCAGGCATGCTGGTTCACGGGCATGTAGTCTGTGCAGTTGCACAAGGCCTTGTGCTCAGAAGGGCCCCAAGCTTGGTTTAATGCTGTAATGCTCTTGATGCTCTTAATGATTTGTGAACAAGGATCCTTACCTTTTGATTTCGTATTGGACCTAATATATTATGTAGCTGGTCCCAGTTCCAGGTTTTACAACTTGTAGCTTCCTCCTGTCCTTGAGCTACTTCTCTGCTACATCTTCTTCCATCAAACAGACCCTCACCTAGGTGCTGACCTAGCAAACCTAGATGTTCCTCATTTATAAGGTGTTTTCCTTTCATTCTGACAAGAGATAGGTAGTCAGCCTACTGTGGTTTTCCTTCTTTATACACACGTCCCATTTGGAGTCTTTTCTACGTCTCTCCACTTATGAGAGCTTCTGCTCTACTTCGGTTGTGCATTTCTGGATCTTACACAAGTCATCGAGCTGCTAAGTAAAAACATTTCAGACCCCCTGGGTGGTCGTTAAGTGACATGCAACAAGTAAGTCCTGCAAATGAACCCCTCAAATCTAATTTCCTACTGTGCATTTTTAAATCTGAGAAAAATGATTTAAAATCATTTTAATCAAATGATATAATACTTTGTAGACTTACAAAATCAGTCTATGTTAGTGTACAGGGATAAATAACTTTGGAGATTCAGAGAAAAAATGATTTGAATGAACATTGACACTATTTGTACATTTATATTTGCATAGTTATTTATTTATTGCATAGTATTTATTGCATAGTATTTATTTCCATAGTTTCCAGAGAAAACGCTCAGGAAATGTCCAACGCAAATGGCAGTGCAATAACCAAATTCATTTTACTTGGGCTCACAGATCGCCCAGAGCTCCAGCCTCTCCTGTTTGTGCTGTTTCTGGCGGTTTACCTTGTCACCCTCTTAGGCAACCTGGGCATGATAATGTTAATCAGACTGGACTCTCGGGCCCATGTACTTCTTCCTCACTAACTTAGCCTTCGTGGACTTGTGCTATAGCTCGAATGCAACCCCACAGATGTTGATTAATTTCTTATCAGAGAAGACCATATCCTTTGCTGGCTGTTTCACGCAGTGTTACATTTTCATCGCGCTCCTCCTCACTGAGTTTTACATACTGGCAGCAATGGCGTATGACCGCTACGTGGCCATATGCAACCCTCTGCGCTACAGTGTGAGAATGTCCGGGAGAGTCTGCACCTGCTTGGCCACATTTCCTTAAGTCTATGGTTTCTCAGATGGGCTGCTCCAGGCCATCCTGACCTTCCGCCTGACCTTCTGTAGATCCAATGTCATAAACCACTTCTACTGTGCTGATCCACCACTCATTAAGCTTTCTTGCTCTGATACTTATGTCAAAGAACACGCCATGCTCATCTCAGCTGGCTTCAACCTCTCCAGCTCCCTCACCATCATCCTGGTGTCCTACACCTTCATCATTGCTGCCATTCTCCGCATCAAATCAGCAGAGGGAAGGCACAAGGCCTTTTCCACCTGTGGTTCCCACATGCTGGCTGTCACCCTGTTTTATGGGACACTCTTCTGCATGTATGTAAGACCACCAACAGATAAGACTGTTGAGGAATCCAAAATAATAGCTGTCTTCTACACCTTTATAAGTCCGATGCGTAATCCACTCATCTACAGTCTGCGGAACAAAGATGTGAAGCAGGCCTTGAAGAATGTCCTCAGACGAAACATGGTCACTACTGTGGCAATGCCTCCACTTTCCAATAAACCATAGATCCAAATCTTTGACTCAAAAATCTTGAATATCCAATTTTCCCAACACTATTTATTGAAAAGGGCTTCTTTTCCTCAGTGTATATTGTTGTCTTCTTTGTTGAATATCAGTTGGTTGTAGGTAGATAGTTTTATATCTGGGTTCTTTGTTCTTTTCCATTGGTATATGTCTCTATTTTTGTGCTAATATCATGCTGTTTTGTTTGCTATAGCCTTGTAGTATAGTTTGAAGTCTGGTGATGTGTTGCCTCCAGATTTATTCTTTTTGCTTAAGACTGCTTTGGCTCTTTGGGATCTTTTCTGCTTCCAAATGAAGTGTAGAGTTATTTTTTCTAGATCTGTGAAGTATGACATTACCCCCTTAATATTTTTAAATTAAAAAAAAAAATCTTGGAGTTTGATCATGAGATTTAGTAGTCTCTATAGATGTGTCCCAGACACTTCAGGTATAAAAAAATTCCAATTTGGGGGGAAAAATTAGATATGCTTTTTTTTAGGGCTTATTTCTCAACATATGTCTCATGAATAAAGAGCGTATGTGTTACCTTGGAAGTTGTTACACATACAGAATCGAGTTCTGCACCTTGGCACTACTGTATCTAAATATGTAGTTTAACCAAATCCCCAGGTGTTTTTAAGTACATTAAATTTTGAGAAGCACTGCTTTAGGTGAAAACTCCCAACTGGTGTGCCATGCAACACTGATGTGCTCTTATTGCTTGCAGTGGTAAACAGAATAAACATGTTCTCAGCTCAGTTTCTTGAATTTATTCTATTCTTTTTCCCATCTGTCCTTTTGCTTGAGGAGTCTTTAAGAAACCCATCCTTCTGTACTCCTCTTCTGACTTGCTAAGTTAAACTGGAAACTGCGCAGTTCGTATTAATAGTAGTAGTTTTCTCTTCCTTATGAACGTGCTTATGTAGTGAAGAGGTGGCAATCAGAAAAGAGGGGAATGGGACGATCATACTTTTCCCAGACTTAAGTTTGTGCATCTGGCCCTAGGAGCTACACAAACCCACCTCTTCCTCTGACCCTCCAGCATCGGGTGATAACTCTCTGTTTCACTTATTTTTGAAACATTTAGAACAGATTGATCTGAGAGTAAGAACTAAAATTTAAGGAAGAAATAAAGAAACTGAGTAAGCAATGAGGCATGTGAGATAAGAATATTTACCTTGCTTTGACTATGCTTTCTGTTCCTAATTATGGTGAGCAATATTAATTTTTTCCTTCCTGAGCATAGACCTAACACATAACCTCTTTATATGTGCCATGAATGTGAGGATTTTGTCTAGGAGGGGAAAATAAAATGCTTTTGGCATCTTCATAAAGATAAAATAAAACAAATGATAACAAAATAAAACATATTTTTCTTCAGGCTCCATGGTAAAATGAATGATTTAAGGGACAAATAAAAGATTCCATTGTTAGAGACCTGGTGTTCCCCTTTGGGAGTGAGCTTTCCATTTGATTCTTTTTTTTTTTATTTCAGCATATTATGGGGGTACAGATGTTTAGGTTACATACGTTGCCCTTACCACCCCCCCCCAAGTCAGAGTTTCAAGCGTGTCCATCCCCCAGATGGTGTGCATTGCACTCATTATGTATTCACATACCCATCCCTTCCTCCCCCCTCCCACCTGCCCTACACCCAATAAATTTTATTCTTATATGTGCACTTAGGTGTTGATCAGTGAAACCAATTTGCTGGTGAGTACATGTGGTGCTTATTTTTTCCATTCTTGGGATACTACACTTAGTAGAATGTGTTCCAGTTCTATCCAGGAGAATACAAGAGGTGCTATATCACCATTGTTTCTTATAGCTGAATAATACTTTTGATTCTTCATACTTCCAGAGTTCTTTCACTGATTCCTTCCCGTCTGGATCAGCTGTTGCTTCTTACCTTTAGATTTTTGTTTGGATAATGACAAGCCCTGTTTAGTCTCTGAGCCAGTAGGTGGTGTTTGTGGGTGAGATTCGACCACACCCTGTATGATGAGTCAATAGATGTAGTAAAAGGGTGTACAGAATGACCTCCCTGTCAGAAGGTAGTGCTTACTGGGAGGCGCAAGCTGAAGTGTTATTTTTGGGTCCTGTAACCAGCTCTTGTTCCCCTTGAGAGGCATTCTAGTGCTTCAGGTAGTTAGTGGGGCCCTGGGACTTCCAGGTGTGTCCTTATTCTCCACCTCAGTGGCGGCAGGTTGGGGAGCGAGGTTGGGTAGAGCTGAATTGGGTGAGCCTGCTCTCAAGCACCATAAATGCTGTTAGCAGTGGTCAAAGGTCTGTTCTCTACTTTTGGGCAAAGCTGCCAGGGCGCGGCTGAAATGGCCCCACTCAGCTGAAAAGTCTGCGTGTGGGGGTGGGGCTGTCTGAGACCTGCAGTCTGGAGCAGGCCTCGCTCCTTTCCACCCTCCCCTATTCCACGGTGTCTCCCCGGTCTCTGCCCGCAGGCAGGATCTCAAGCTAATGATCTCCCCTGGCTGTGATGCAGGCTGGCAGGTTCCCTGCCCAGAATCGGAGCCTGAGCTGGGAGTGCAGCCCTCCCCTGGGAGGAGGGTTGCCCCTCAAGTGCATTGATCTGACCCTGAAGGCACATACACCTCAACAGACCCCTTCACAAAATCTCTTCTGTGCCCTGGGGCAATATGATGGAGACCTGGGTGTATGGGGATCTGGTCTGCAGGCCTGTTCCCTGGTTTCTTTGGTACTTAACTTACTCTTGTTTGGGAATAATTATAGCACATTGTAGAGTTTTTAGAAAGCTTTATTTTATTAATATATAATTTGCCTGCCGTGAAATATATCCACTTTAATTACAAGCAAAGTGTTTTGACCAATGTGTACACCTATATAACCACCACCACAATTGAGATTGACAATGTAAATCACCCCTGAAGTTCCTTTTTATCCATTTGCAGACAGTTCTTTCCACAAATGTCTAGCCCTTAATAATCACTGATCTACTTTCCTAACCAAAGATATTTTTGTCTATTTTAGCATCTCCTATAAATGGAGTCAAGCAGTATATGTTTCTTTGATTTCAATATATCATTTGGAGAATGTGCCTTTGATGAAGTATACATGTGTCTCTTTTGCCTTCATAATTAGACTAAATACTATTTAAGTACATGTACATGGTACATCTTGTTCATATTGTATTTGTATCTCTTGGATGAGCAGAAATTGGACACTAGGTAAAAGGGAAGAAAGGTAGACAGAAAATTTTGATCTTTATCCTATGTTTTTGTGTGTTGGCAAATAAATAGCATATTGCTAAATTACATGCTTACCAGGTTTTCCAAAAAATATTATTTTAACACCTGGATGTAGCACTTTGAACTAACTCTACTACAACTCATTGCGAGGTCTTGTCCAAATGACTTTATTTACTGGATTTTATAATTTAACCACTTTATTCTGCCACTTTTGGAAAGTGTTTTGCAGTACACGATTCAGACTGAAAAGGAATCACAGGAACATCAAAGTCCATGAATTATGTCATTATTTTATATCTTTATTATTTGTTCTATTCATCCAATTAGAATAAATGGTGACCTAAAATGCAAAAATTGTATGAGAATGATCACCCAAAGCCATTGGCTCAAAAGGATTATAAACTGATGCAATCGCATTGCTCAAATCCCAAAAGTCTATTGAGTATGAGTCTGTGCCAATTACTATTTTTCCCTGGAGTTATCTTTTGCAGAACATTGTAATTATTTCTTCAGGGTGTGTTCAAAAATACTTTAGGGATAAAAGCTCCAAATTACAAGTTGGGTATAAATCGTTCTCTGTAACTCATTGCTTGGACCACTAGTGTCTCTGAGAGAATCTTTTCTGTGGTCAGGTAGGAATGGAAATTCTGGCTTCTATGCTTGTACTTTCTCATTTTGTTTTAATTTTAGATTTTTGTCAGTAGGAGTCAGGTGACAACAATGGCTTGAATGTTAGCTTAGATTCTTAATTAATAAAAATGAGTTGGTATGCATTTCTTATCTAGATTGGTCACTAGAAATATTGTAATTTAATTAGAATTATGTATTTACAATAATTATTTTACTTTACCAGTAGAATTCTTACCTTCCTTTAAGTATTGAACATACATTGAATAACCACATTGGAATAAACAATTTAGTTTACCATCATATTAATAATTATAGAATAATATTTGTTTAAAGGACAACCCCTCCAAAAGCATCCTTCATCAAAAATTCGAAAGAGATTTCATTCTTTTTTATGGCTGAATAGTATTTCACTCTATCATGGATGGACCTGGAAGATTTTATGTTAAGTGAAATTAGCCAGAAACAGAAAGTTAAATACCACATGTTCTTACTCATATGTGGAAGCTTAAAAAGTTGATCTCATAGAAGTAAAAAGCAAAAAGTAAGAAGTGAAAAGTACTTCAGGATACTACAGGATGGAAAGGATAGGAAGCAAAAGGGGTAGGGAGAGATTTTTTAAAGGATACAAAATTATAGCTACATAGAAAGGATAAGTTCTAGTGTTATATAGCACTATAGGATGACTGTAGTTAATAATACATTATATATTAATAGTTTCAAATACCTACAAGGATGATATGGAATGTTCCTAACAAAAGAAATGATAAATGTTTGCATTAAAAGATACACTAATTTCCCTGATCTGATCACTGTACCTTGTATGTATCAAAAGAAACATCACTATATACCCCATAAATATGTATAATTATTATATACCAATTAAAATATAAAGCAAAGGGAAAAAATCAAAAGAGACACAGACAAATTAAAGCAGAAATTATACTTATTCTAGCAAAAATAAAAATTTATGGAACTTTATATGTCTCCCTTTAAGTTATATAGAGAAAAAATTTGGGGACAGATTTGACATTAAGATGTACATGACTAGGTAGGATTGGCAAACATGTGGATGCAAAATCTGAATGTTAGAAATGATGGACATTTTAGAAATTATTCAGTCTGAGTCTGAAATTAAATAGATGAGGACTCTAA